TATATATATATCAGATTGGTAATTGACAAGATTTTATAATGTTAAATAGTAAATATTTTGCTATATTAAAAGAGCTTGTATGTTAGTAGTCAAATCAGAATGCTACATAACTCAGAGAAAAACATTTTGGAAGAGGAATCCTATACAGCAGCCATTTGTGTATGTGTACCCTATGCAAATATTTGCTTTCATATTTTTAAGTTAACAATAAAACACTTTTTGGCAACTAAATGTCTAAAACAAAGCTTTTTTATTTTTGTGAGTGTATGTGGTCTAAAATGTATGGTGTAATTGTAAGCTAGTATACCTGTAGTGCTTTTTGTTTCACGACTATTAGAAACATTCACATTTCTTCCTCTAAAACCACTATAATTAAACTGATCATTTTCACTAATAACACAAATGAAATTTTACATATAGACAAAAGGGGAAGCAGTGTCTCTTAATATCTCAGAAAACGGTGGATTAAATTCTAAGTAAGAAAATTTATTTTAAGTTTTTAGGAATCATGAGTTTTAAGTCTTTAAGAATCACGTAATAATATTTTGCTGCTTTAATAATTATCTTTAGGCAACATTTAACAGTATTTTTACTGCTTTAAAATATCTTATGTGTTCTACCACTTTTCTAAGAATTTGAAAGGAATAAAAACTTATTTTCTTAAAAACATACACTGTTGACAAGGTTGCTTCCTATTGGGCTAGTTCTGGAGGATGGCTGGTGGTGAGCAGAATACTAAATATGACTATAATAGTCAACAGTACAGAACGAATCACCATCATGTTAGCGTTCAAAGGAATTTTAAAAAATCCGTACAACTCAAAGCATGAGTAGTATCTAAACATTGGATAAGTGTCTTTTAACAATGAAGAGACTTCTGCCATTCAAAAAGGACCTAACAGTTGCTGCAGGAATACTTTGGTATATCAAACATAAATGATAAGTTCAACGGTAAAAATATAGAAGCGTTAAAAAAATCATTACTCAAAAAACGCTGCAATACAAGTAGTGTGATTGAGGAACGCTCCTCACTCTTTCGAGTGCAATTTACTTCTACGAAGAAAAGAGCACACAAGATTTCCTATAGCAGCTGAAAAGATCACAGTGAATTTTTTTCATGGACTCTGATTTCAGAGAATTCTAGATTACATAACTTGTAATGTGAGAGTAGACAGACAACACTAACCCTCCTCTCCCAAAACGCCCTCCTTTCCCCCTTTGCTCCGCATTGGATAGATCCTTCGCTTGTCTGATCATGAGATGGCTGAACACATTTTGGCATTTCCCCACCTTTAAAAAGAAAACCAAACCGAAGCGATGTGTTTTTTTCAACCCCTTTTTTTTTTGTGAGAGTTTTTTTTTTTTTTTTTTTTTTTTTTTTTTTTTTTTTTTTTTTTTTTTCTGGACAAATACCAGTCTTAACGCCTGGACTCTACCGCTCCCACAGGAGTGACAGCGGTCCAGGTCTCAGTCGGCGATCTCGGTCCCTGCCCTCCCCCGCCGAGGCCGCGCCCCGCACTCGCGCGCCCCCTGCCGGCGAGGCCCCGGGGCCCCAGCTACCTGGATCGGGCGCCTCCCGAAGCGGTTGACTCCGTTGGGATCTGCGCCGACTTCCAGGAGCTGCCGCACCTTCTCCACTTGCCCTCGCGCCGCGGCGCTAGCCAGGCCCGCATCGCTGCCGCCACCGCCCAGCATGCTCTTGTCCTCCTCACGCATTCCGCAGCCCCAGACACTGGGCGGCCCGGACAATGCACCACTGGCGGCGAGCTTGGCGACACTCCCTCTTGCCCAACCGCGTCCCGGTGCACTTTCCCCTTCCCAGAAGAGCTCAGCTCAGTTCCAGGGCACTCTCGCCGTACTTGTGCGGCTCGGGGACCAGTGCTGTGGCCGGAAGGCTGGCTCTAGGCTTGTCCCGGCTCCTGAGCAGCAGAGGACGCGTCCGGCTCCCTCTTGGGAAAAAGCCCCCAGCGCGGCTGCAGCTGAGCGCAGACAGGCTCTGGCCGCAAGGTGCGGGCACGGCGCAGCGTCCACGCCGCCCGGCCTCCTTCTGGCTCAGTCGGGAGCCAGCTGGGAATGAACCCTGTTTCCAGCTGGGCTGCGAAGCCCGCTTTCCCCACCCCCTAAAGGTCCGCCCCTTGCGGGTCAGTCCAGCCCGGCCGCGTCCAACAATGTTCGCTACGAGGCCAGGCCCACGGCCTGTGACGTCACAGAGGAAGGGTAGGGGCGGGGGAAGTCTGCCCAGAAGGTGCTGGAACGCCTGCACCCGGGACTTGGCTAAGAAGCCGCTTGGAACGCCAGCTGTGTGCTACTCCTCGGGCGCGCGGAAAAAGCGAGGCTAGCTTTTTGGAAGTGTTCGCCCACTGCACTCAGCTCCTAATCCCAGCCGTTGGAGCACAGAGTTTTGCCTCCTTCAGCTCTCGACCAGCCGGTTTCGCTAGAGAGACCTTAGCCGCCCCTGTGTAATGAAGTGGCGGAGAGAAAGGCGTTGAAAATACCTTGGGCTCTGGTAAGATGTGTGAAAGTGACCTCTGCATCTATCATGCAGGTTAAATTCATCTAGTTCAACTTCAAAGTTGCACACCTAGCATCAGCCTTAGCAATTTTCTTGTGGATGAACCTATTTGAATTAGTCAACCAGAAAAATGGTGCAAAGTCCCGAGAGTGCTGTTTTGCATGTGCCTTTTAATTATTTTTTTATCTTTAAATTATGGATACAATCCTAAAACAAACAAGAAGGACCCAAACTGTAGCTTGAGACAGAGTGATAGCCGGCATATGTACACACCTAAAGATTTAAAAAATTCGAAATCCCAGTTTCATGATATTTGCATATCTTTGACCTCTTACCGATTTAAACCCACCTCAGCAGTATTTGCTTTTAATTTATCATGAGTAATAAAAGGACATTAATGCAGTAATAATGAAGCTTAATAAAACATGGGTGTGGTGCTGGGCCTGTCATTAAACAGGCTGAACCTGTCATTAACTCTTCTAAAGATTTAAAGGCCAAGCACTTTCTTTCTAATATTCCAAGGTGAGCTTGTATTAACATATTTATTGCTTTAAAAGAGTTTTTAAGATATAGCTGGTGTCACATTGAAATAAGAGAACCTCAAATTTTGTCACTGTTGCCTGAAGCTCTGATAGTGGGCCTCCCCTGACACTGACCAGCTCTTGTTTACAAAGTCATTTGGGTTTAGAATGCTGACAGAGAAGAAGTGGTTTTCCCAACTGCTTGCTTAATCAAAAATGAGAGACCCCACAAAAGGTTTCTTCCAGCAGAGCTTGGCTCTGCTCCCCTCCCCCCAAAGTGGGGCCTAGGAAAGTGAGAGAGTTGACCATCTACTGACTGATCCTCAACAGGGCAGAAACTCACCTGAACCAGAGAGGCAGCGACAACACTAACAATTTCTTAATTTCTTTCTCTTTTCCTTTTCACTTCCACTTCTTACTTTATAGTTTCTTAGTTCCTCTACTTTTCACATTTATTTGAAATTCCACTTTTACTCTTTTCTTTTCTCTTTTCTCTTTCCTTTTTCTTTCTTTCTTTTGAGAGACTTTTGCTATTGGGTGTGTGCATTCACCAGAGAGACAGAGAGAGACAGAAAGTGAAGAACCACCCTGCCCCCCTCCCCCCAGGGGGGATGGCCACACCATAATAATTCCTTCTCCTCCAATCTCTTCTCAGGATTTCAGGCATTCATGCATACACGCCTGGCATGAGTTTTAAACCACCGGGTTTGGGACTCAAACCGCAGTTGACTATGTGGTTGTCCAGTGATGTAATCATTATGCCACTTTCTGGTCCCTCAAAATCCCTTATTTTTCCTGATCCTCAGTCCATTCTTAGAGTTGCAGGAGGAACAGAAGTCTACATTCAGGTGAAACACATGGATAAGCTGTTTTGTTAGTCCCAGAAACCTGTCCCCGTGTCCAGTGTCTGGGGGATTATAGTTGTGTAGATAAAATGGGAGGAGGAGGAAGACTGGGCAGTGGGAAGCCAGATCCTTGAAATGAGTGTGGTGGTTCTTTGCCTGTCACCCAGGAGTGGGGAAACAGGTTCGATGTTGGTGTATGTGGTGTCAAATGGCAAATGGACTCAACCCAGACTGTGTTTATCAGATGAGCCTAGATACTCTGAAATCTAGTGTTGGTCAAATGCAGCAAGGAAAGTTGCCTTCTAAGCAGTGTTGTTGGGCCTTCTGTCAAGTACCAATAGGTTAAGTTAAACAAAACCATGTATTCTAGGATCTACTGTTGAGGAAGATATGGGTCCTAGCTTGTAAGAAAGTCTAGTAGCACTCAGAACTAACAGATAGGTGGTTTCATTTTTTTAAAGAATTATTTTATTTAACTTTATTTATTTTAATTTGACCAGAGAGGGACAAAGTGAGAGAGAGAGGGAAAGTGAGAAAGCAAGCCATCAGGTCTGGGACTCAAACCACAGTTGGCCATGTGAGAGTCTAGCACCTTTAACTACCTGTTGGCCTCAGATGGTTTCAATTTAATATGATAACACTAATATATATCTACATGGTTCGTGGAAGTAACAAAGAAGAGAAGTTATTTCAGGGTGGAAATACAGGAAATGTTTCTTAGAGAAGGTGCTAACTGAAGAGTCTTTAAAGGATGCATCAGAAAGAACTGTTTCTTTTTTTTCTCTCTCTTTTTTTTTTGTGTGGAGAGGTTCTTTTTTTGTTTATATGGTGCATGTGCTCACCAGGCAAACAGAGAGAGACAGAGAGACAGAAAGTGAGAAATCACCCCCCAGGGGGGATGGCCATGACGCAGTCCCTTATCCTCCATTCTCTTCTAGGGACCTTGGGCATGCATGCACACGCATCCGGCGTGAGTTTTAAGCCACCAGGTCCAGACACGAACCACAGTCGACTACATGGGAGTTCAGCGACATAGCCATTATGCTAACTGCTGGTCCCAAGAGCTGTTTCTTGTGCTCTTGTTTTGAATCTTGAATTTCTCTGAAATTCATCTAAAAGGATAGGAAAAGACAATCTGAGCTAATTTCGTTTTTTAGAGTTATTATTTATTTATTTATGCATTCATTTAATTTGACCACCACACACACACACACACAGAGAGAGAGAGAGAGAGAGAGAGAGAGAGATGGGGAGAGAGAGAGAGAGAGAGAACACGTGAGAAAGCAGCCACCAGGTCTGGGACTCGAACCGTGGTTGACCATGTGGGAGTGTCCAGTACCTTGACCATCATGCCACCTACTGGTCCCAACCTGAGCTAATTTCTGAGCCACTTTCTTAAGTGATAAGCATGGCCAATGTGTCTAGTTAAAAAAATGTTGGGGACCAGACGATGGCATAACCGTTACCTTGCTGGACTTCCATGCAGTCAACTGTGGTTCAAGTTCCATCCCCAGGGGCTTAAAACTCATGCTGGGTGCTGTGCGTGTGTGCCCAAGATCCTGAGAGGAGAATGGAGGAGAAAGGATTGTGGCGTGGCGGTCCCCTGGGAGGGTGATTTGCCCTATAAACACAAATCTTTCTTAAAAATTGGAATTGAAAAGCAACTGGAACAGAATTATTTTTTTTCTTTAAAGGGGTCATAAATAAAGAGCAGCAATTTAGGGACAAAGCTACTGAACAGAAAAACTGGGAATCTTCAGCGGGGCAGATCCGTGAGCGTCACTTATCAAATTGACTGAAGACTTTTGGTGGAGAAACGGTTTCCAGGGGCGTTTGCGGTTTTTAGCACCACGGACAGCGCTTCTCCAGTCCGCAGGTCTCGGTGGTCCTAACCTGATTCAGACTGGGAATTCTAGAAGCATCAAACTTGATCTTCCAAAGTTTTTTTTTTTTTTTTTTTCTCTCCTGAAATAAAAGGGAAAGCGTATGGGAGCTCAATAAACTTTGAAAAACCAACATGTTCCATCTGGTTTCCAGATACTGAATTGTCTAACATTCTATAAAGAATACTATGAAATATTCTCTATATTTTTTAAAAAAGGAGAAATCACACTCATTGCTACTCTGTTATAAGTGCTTTATGAATATTCTTTTATTTAGCCCTTATGAAGCTGTTATCTGACATATATTAGTATCTCAGTTTTACAGACAATACAAAAATATCAGGGAAGATGAGTAAACTTGTAAACCAGCTAATCATTGTGGGAGGTTAAGGTCTAACCCGTGTGGCTTCAGAGCCTCTATCCTTTCCACTGCAAGCATACTCAGAAGCAGTCATGGCAGGCCTGGAAAAAAAAGCAACAAACTGCCTTATAATTATTTCCCAGTCTACACTGTGTTTTCCAGATGGCTCACCTCACAGCACATGCTTAATAGACTTCAAAGATGACACTTCATACGCAGTACAATAGCACATTTGTCTTGGACAATAGAGTGAGATAATGAAACTTCTCCCTGAAACCCAGCTGTCTCTAGGATGAAAAACAACCATTTGTCAATGCTTTAAACACATTTAAGAGATGAAGTAGATGGGAACATAGGGGGCAGCTGAAACTTGAAATGGCACAGCCATCTCTAAGGGCGGAGAATTTATAAGTGAGAAGAAAGAGAGTAAATTGGCCTAATATTTTGGAGGTAAATGGAAGGCAGTGGGTAAAATTATTGATAGTTCCAGTCTTGTATGTACTGCAGATCACTAGTGATAGTGCTTCTATTCTTTTTTTTTTTTTTTGAGAGTTTTTTGCTATAGGGCACATGCGCTCACCAGAAAGAGAAAAAGAGACAGAAAGCGAGAAACCCCCCCCCAGGGGGGATGGCCATGCCACAATCCCTTCTCCTCCATTCTCCTCTCGGGATCTTGGGCACACACGCACATGTGCTCAGTGTGAGTTTAAGCCACTGGGTCTGGGACTTGAACTGCGGCCAACTATATGGGAGTTCAGCGACATAGCCACTACACTAACTGCTGGTCCCATGCTTATATTCTTATATTCAGTTGGTGCAACTCACTACAGGAACTCACTATCAAAGTGTGACTAGGGGCCACAGGTGGTGTGGAAGTTATGGTGACTAGATCTCACATGACTGATGGCGTGGTTGGGGTCCCGGACTAGGTGGCTTGAAAAACACACTGGCCCCAGGTGTATGCATGCCCAAAAATCTCAAGAGAAGAATGGAGGAGAAAGAATTGTGGCATGGCCAGCCCCCTTGGAAGGGGGACTCATTTCTCACATTTTGTCTCTATCTATCTCCATTTCTCTCTGGTGAGTACATGTGCCCTTTAGCAAACTTTTTTTAAAAAAAAGTGTGAATAAAATTAGTTAAGCAGCAAGAAATAGTGACCTAGCCATGTCTTCATTTATGTTTTTTTTTTTTTTTTTTTTTTTTTGTATATTTTAGAGTCTAAGACAATGTTTCTAAGTGGGGAAAGGAGGAATTTCAGAATTTCTTTTGGGGCTTTCTCAAATTACTTACTTTCAAATCACTTGCTCACCAGGAGACTTGATTTTTGTCTATTTCATTGAGCACTATTGCGCTGGAATTCACAGTGTTTTCCCTTTCTGGATCC